TAGCTAGGTAAGTCCTAGCTAGGCAAGAAACAGTTTAGGCAAAAGAGGGGAGGTTCACTAGCAGCAATGAGGATACATATAGCAAACCCTAGATGGGTTGTACTCGCTATAGAGCACCCCACTACAGGCTAGAGAATAACATTCTGACATGGTGCGTGCGCGCGCGAGCATGGAGAGGGATGAGAGAAGGCGGACGGGAGGTGGCGAGAGATGGAGGACGGGAAGGGATGAGAGAGGGAGGACGGGAAGGGGTGCAGGAGGGATGGTGGGAAGGGATGAGAGAGGGAGGATGGGAACGGATATGACAGGTGGGGGGGCGGGAAGGAAGACTGAGGGTGGTTAGGTGGGGGAAAGCAGGGAAGAGGATGGGGGAAAACATGGCAGAAGGTGGGGGGAAGCTGGGTAGAGGGTGTGAGAATGCATGGCATATGGTAAGGGAACAAAAGGGAAAGGATGAAAAGATGCACGGCATAGGGTGGTAGGGGAGTGAGGGCGACGTGGAGGGGAAGTGAGAGCGATGGGGAGGGGAAGTGAGAGCGATGGGGAGGTATGTGAGGAGAGCAAACCCTCCTCACCTCTGTTCTCCCCCCTCCATCTCTCCTTCTCTGGCTGTCCCCCTCAATCCCTTCCACTTGGTCCCTCCCGATCTGACTCTCCCCTCATCCCTCCCCCTCGGTTCCTTCCCTACTATCTCTCCCCCTCTGTCCCCGCAATCCCCTTTGTCCCTCAACGTTAGTCCCTCCCTCACTGTCCCTCTCGCTCAGTCCTTCAACCTTAGTCCCTCCCTTACTGTTCCTCCCCATCAGTTCCTTCCCACTGTCTGTCCTCCTCGGGTGGTGTATGTGGGGATATGAAGGAGGACATGGGGGGGGGAGGCGGGTGGTGTGTGAGGGGATATGGAGGTAGATATTTGCAGGGGAAGCGGGTATCGTGTGAGGGGGTATGGAGGTGGATATTGGGGGAGACGTTTGAGTCGACTCAAAAGTCAGGTCGATGATGACTGGAAGGAGCGAGGGCGTATGAAATAGTTGATACCCGCGATGGGGTCGATGTCGACGCGGATAGGCGTTGACGATAAGGGAGACTTGTTCGATTGGGATGGCGGAGGCTACAACGGGAGGCGAAGGCCTAGAGGAGCATCTGGGGCAACGACTCTACTTGCGCGTTACGAGGGCAGGAGTGCGTGGCGTCGGTTTCAGCGTGTGATCTGCGGAAGAGCGCTTGTGGATGGTTGAGCGCGTGACGAGGGGAAAGTGTGGAGAGTCACCTTATAATGGGAGTGGAATACGGAGGAGGGCACGTGGTTGTGCGGGTGATCATTGCGTTCCAGTATCGTTACTACTAGTTGTTGTGTTCACAAAGAAATTTGGCTAGAGTTTCACTAGAGATTGAAAATAACAATCAAATTACAATGAGGCATGCAAGTCGATATAGCAAGAAAGACATTTCAACACCTAGCATGCATTCTGCAAGGCGAATCGCCAGCGAAGCATCAGAGCGGCTTGAAAACGCTGCAGCAGGGCGGCCTGCCAGCGTAGCAGCAGAGCGGCTTGCTAACGTTGCAGCAGGCCGGCCTGCTAGTGCTGCATTCGCATGTGCCAGGTAGAAAACGTGTCATCGGTTTTGCCAGGTGTCCACCGCGAGCACATGATGCCGTTCTGCAGGTCGACTTTGCCAAAACATGGCGAAACTCGCACACCCCTTCGCAATTGCGCGAACTCGGCCGACCAGTTTGCCGAGACGAGTCTCGCCGAACAGTACCCTTTGATTAGGGGACGCGCTCGTCAAAAAGCACCCCATCGATCAGAGTTCGTCGATGGCCTGGTCGACCAGAGGACGAGCTCGTCAAATGACACCTTGTCAATCGGAAGACGAGGTGGTTGACGATCTCTGTCGTCTAGGCCCGACCAATTCGACGACCACTTCGTCGAATTCACCATGGCGTCGCGGATAACGCATACACCCAATCGCCTCGCACTTTGACAGAAAGCGCGTGACGACGAGAGAGTGCACATGACAAGGTCAGGCGCGGGTGACGAGGGGACGAGCGCGTGACGAGGGGACGAGCGCGTGACAAGGGAAGAAGCACGTAACGTGAACATGCACGGGTGACGAGGGGGGGCGCGGGTAGCGAAGCGCGTGTAACGTCGCGTTGCAAGGGTGATTTCGGCGTGGCGAAGCACTCGTGGGCAAGTCAGGTCTTGGTGTTTAGATGAGGCGACCCTGAGCTGCCTAGCTATTGGCGAGAACTAGCTTTTGCCGCACAGTCTAGTTAAGTGAGGAACAGGAGGATTATGAGTACTACTAGATGTTCGAAATATGTGAAAGGCGAGCAGCGCTCATGGAGAGCGCCGAGCTAGTGAGTTTCGCGATTGAGCACAACCGATCGCTTGAGATTCTCGCAACGCGTTGTCCCACGGTCACGAGAGTTCTCCCAAACAAAGTAGGCTAACCCAGTTCTTGGCGATTTCAAACATGTTAATTTAAAAAACAACCACACTGTACTCAGGCTTTAAAGGGCAGATGCACAGATTAGTGAGATGCTGGTAACTCACAAAATTCCGACGAGTCTATGACAAACATTATTGATTTTTTTTTTTTGCTGTGCCCGTTTTGGCGGGAAAACCCGTCCAAACGGCTCCTCATTCGTTCCCATTTTCTCGAAAACCACGGCCGAGACGCACTTTTGATGAGGTGAGCTCCACGACCACGAGACTGCTCCTCTGCCAAGAGGAAGCACGTCCACCGTCGTGAACCGAATTCTCCCTGTTTTGGATCCTTCTCCATCTTTTTTTTTCGCAACCGCTCACAAAATCCAAGCCGTCGATTACAGATAGCCGGCTGCGCCGTCACCACATCCATGGTGTTTTTCTGCTCCCTAAGCTGATGCTAAAAACTCTTGAAGACTGCCCCCACGCGTCAATCTCCAAGTCCACTGGGATCACATGTTTATCGAGGAGAGTTTTCACACGCCGCTTCCACGGAGCTCATCCGACCGCCGCAACACCTCGATTCTCCAACAACCACCACCCACCGTTTCACCATTCTCGATTCTCAAAGCTCCCTCCCAAATTCGCCCAAACCCGAACCCAACCTTTTCCATGAGCCACCACCACTTTCCTCCACATCTTCCGCTTGTGCTCTTCCGTGCTTGGCTCCTCATTTCTTACCTCTTGCTCCCATTTCACTCTCCCGTCCCTCTTGCTCGCGTCGCGATCTGTTAAAAAAAGAAAGTAGAGACTAACGGCCTTACCCTCGGTTTCCTGTGGCTAGTATTATTTTTTTATCGAAGCGAGCTTCTTTTGCGCGTAGGAACCACTGAGTTACGGTGCTTCAGAAACTGGGATAGCATAAACCGTAACTGCCTGAAGCTGTCGGGTATGCGTGGCGGTCTTTAGCCTCTGACATTTTCGTGGTCAAGTGAACGGACCTCGCTTGTTCGGCCTTTACTTTTCTTTTGAAGAACTGCCGACTCTTTGCTTGGTGCTTTGCAGCCAGGCCCTTAGCAACCCTCAGTAGGACCTTGGCGACGTTAGGACCTTAGCGACGTATTGTAAAGTTCAGCTGCATGTTAACGGCTATTAAGTAGCGTCCTGAATGAGCACGTTGATGCTTTTGATACTCATCGGCATGCGCGCTCCTTAGACCCCTGTTTCCAGTTTTGAGTCACGAAGAAAACCAGCATGAGTCGAATACGCAAACGAAACCCCGTCTTCGGCATCGCGGGATTGGCTGTTGCGTTCCTACTCCTCCTACCACTCTTGCCGTCTAAAGGTAATAAATAATCTTACCGTTGTCAGTTGCCTTTCTGGTCGGCAAGTACAGTAGTTTCTCGTCTTATGTACACGGCCAGCATACCGAGTCTCGGCTCGTCAAGGTGTCGTCATGTTTCCTCGCTGAAGTTGCTGATGCACGCTATTAGTCCTTCGCTGTGGCTGGGCTATTGCAGTTTGGGCAAATTCCGTGTCCCAGTAGCACGTCTAGGGTCCCAGTATCAGCTCCTCCGGCAAGCGTTTCGGTGTGTATCTATCCAGTTTCCTCATCAACCGTCTTTTCTCCGCGATTTTTCTTCGTTTGCAGCATTCAATAGTCGCGTTGATGAGGAGGGTGTTCGCGCTCACTTTCATTGGCATCAACACCGCGAAGCGTCCTGGTTACCATCTAGTAGCGACAGCAGCTCTTTCGCAGATACACGGAGCTCGACCCTCAGCACGCGCGCTCCGTCCAGTAGTGCTGACTCACTAACTGATCCCGACAGCATGACTGATTCTCATAACCAGGTTCACTTAGACAAATTGACTGACCCTGCAATTGGGACTGATTCTGTCAGCCCAACAAATACGCCAGCTGATTATGATGACGACGACGATGACGATTTCGACGACGATGACGCTTTACTTGCCGCTAATCCAGCCTCCGCTTTTGACGACGATTTCGGTTACACCTCGTTTCAGTCACGTCTCGCATACTCACAATCAGCAGAGTTCAAGTCCAGACCAGATATGCTCTTTTTAAGTTCGCGGGACGAATACTCATCCTCCTCCTCTTCGTCACCTCGCTCCTCCTTCTCTTCCTCCCCTCACTCGTCTTCCTCCCTCCGTTCCTCCTCCTCCCTCTCAAATCCCTCGCAATCCTCCTCGCGTTTCGCCTCCCCTCTCCGAAACCCGTCACGATCCTCGCCCGCATCTTTTCGTAACAAAAGCCCTCCAAGATCCTGGAAGCTTCCTAGAAGTAGAAACCCGAGCAGAATCAGCACTAGAATAGGAACGCAGCGAGCGTGGGCTCCTGTTGCTCCTACACCCGAGTACGTGCACCCTAGCGAGGTGTCTCTTAACGCGGCTTTAGCATTCGAGAGGCAGCGGGTGCTTCGGCAGGAGCAGCGTAGGCGGCAGCAGCAGGTGACGGGACCGTGCAGCCCGCTAGAAACGGCGAAGGTGATACGAATCAAGTCGTACGCGGACGTCGCGAAGCGATTAGATTTCGCACCGACGCAAACGGTGATGCTGGTGCTGCTTCCTCCCGGGTTCATCGCAAGTACGGGTCTGCTGTTCGACGGAAACTACTCGTGCACGATCCTGCGAAGCAAGAAGCCGGCGCAGAGAAGGTAGGGTGGACTCTCATCATGACTCTCATCATGACTCTCATCATGACTCTCATTATGACTCGTTATGACTCTCATTATGACTCTCATTATGACTCTCGTTATGACTCTCGTTATGACTCTCGTTATGACTCTCATTATGACTCTCATTATGACTCTCATTGTGACTCTCACTCTCATTATGACTCTCATTATGACTCTCATTGTGACTCTCACTCTCATTATGACTCTCATTATGACTCTCGTTATGACTCTCATCATGACTCTCATTATGACTCTCATTATGACTCTCATCATGACTCTCATTATGACTCTCCTCCTGATTCATTCCATACGCCAGTGCCTCCCTATCTCGCTACCTGTTACCTCATTATCCAACCCGTTACCCATCCCGTTTCTCCCTCCACATCATCCCGTCATCCCGTCGCCGCGTGACAGTTACATCAAGCTCACCCACGCTATGCAACCATGCTGCGCATCTAGAGCACTCCGTAATTTGTTACCCTGCTTCCCCGTTACCTAGCCCGTTACCCATCCCGTTACTCCCGCCCCACTATCCCATCATCCCATCATCTCGTCGCCCCGTCGCAGTTAAATTAAGCTCACCCATGCCATGCAGCCCGTGCTGCGCACTTGGAACACGCACAACGTGATCGTCATGGACATTAATTTCTACCTTCCCGTCAATGTGCTGATGCCGTGCATATCACACATCATATCACACTCCCCAATCCCATCACCCCGTTACCATGTTACAGTTACATCAAGCTGACAAACGCGCTGCAGCCAGTGCTGCGCATCTGGAACACGCACAACGTGATCGTCATGGACGTCAATTTCTACCTGCCCGTCAAGTCCAGCTCACGCCTCTGCTCCTTCACTGAGGTCGGCAAGGGCATGCTGTGTCCGGCCATCCACATCTGGCGAAGCTACGGCGTGCAAGTGGCCAAGGTAAGTCTCGTTGGGGCGGCCTTGAAATAGTGGCATGTCAAGCCCATCTCTTGCATATGCTCCCTCGTTGGTAATGCTCCCGCCATCCACATCTGGCGAAGCTATGGCAGGTAGGTCTCTTTTGAAATGCATGAAGAACCTGCATGCTTGGTAGGCCCAAATGCTCTGCCTTGCCATGCACACCACATCCGGAGGAGCAAAGGCATCCAAGTGGCCAAGGTAAACGCCGTCACCAACGCTACCACTTTGTCAACTCGCCCCCACACACCCCCAATCCTTCCCTTCCACCCATTCTCCCTTCCCCCGCCCTCTCCCCCTCCTCAGGGCGAGGTGTTTGGGCGCATAGACGTGTTTCGCAGCATGCAAGCACGGGTTGACGGCATGAGTGTCACCGGCACCTACCGCTTTGTCAACTCTCCCCTTCACACCACACCCCCTCTCCCCTCCTTATCACCCATCCACCCTTCCCCTCCACATTCCTCACCCTCCCCCCACCCTCCAGGGCGAGGTGTTTGGGCGCATAGACGTGTTTCGCAGCATGCAAGCACGGGTGGATGGCATGGCATGCATGAGCGTTACCAGCACCTACCGCTTTGTCAACTTGCCCCCACACGCCTCAACTCCCCTTCTTCTCACCCACTCACCCTTCTCCTCCACCCTCCCCTCCCCCTTCCCCCTCTCTCTCCCCCTCTTCCCCACCCTCCTACCCCCCCAGGGCGAGGTGTTTGGGCGCATGGACGTGTTTCGCAGCATGCAGGCGCGGGTTGACGGCACGAGTGTCACCGGCACCTACCGCTTTGTCAACTCGCCGCCACACACCCCCTCTCACCTCCTTCTCACCCACCCTCCCTCCCTCCCCCCAGGGCGAGGTGTTTGGGCGCATAGACGTGTTTCGCAGCATGCAGGCGCGGGTGGATGGCATGAGTGTCACCGCCACCTACCGCTTCGTCAACTCTCCCGGGGTTATCCGCATTGGGGAGAGCGGGTACGGACCGGAGCTGGTGCGATCGAATATAGTGATCTCGAATAATGAAGCATATGGTGAGTGGTGGAGAGTGGTGTGGTGTGGTGTGCCCCCTTAAGCGTACCAAGTATGCTGTGCTGCATTGGGGAGAGCGGGTACGGGCCCGAGCTGGTGCGGCGGGCAAACAAAGTGATCTGTGCTTCACTCAGTGTGGTAGGAGGCATGCTGTGCTGCATCGGGGAGAGCAGGTACAGGCCCAAGCTGGTGCAGGCGAACATTGATATCTCAGATCATGAGGCATATGGTGAGTGGTGTTGACGGGTGGGTCCCTCGCATCATGGTGAGTGGGTACGGGCCCGAGCTGGTGCGGGCGAACATTGATATCTCGAAGAACGAGGCGTATGGTGAGTGGTGTGGGTGCCTCCTTCCTGGCTGTTACTGTAGGTGCCGAGTAAGGTTGACTATAACTCGGTGGGTTGGCGATGGGGAGAGTGGGTATGGGCTCGACCCGAGCTGGTGCGGGCGAAAATTGATATCTCGAAGAATGAGGCGTATGGTGAGTGGTGTGGGTGTGGGGTTGCCACCTCGCAGTGGCATAGCAATCACGCCGACCACTGTTGACCAGGGAGGGACCCACTCTCCCCACTCTCCCCAGGGCGAACATAGCCATGGGGACAGTGGTGAACAACATCGTGCATGGCTGTTTATGTACCTGCAGACGATTAAACTGATTTGGCATCGCGGGCATGCGGTGCGGCGCGGACGGATGTGCACTTTACGTCGGCGTCGGCATTAAAAAAGAATGTGGCGCCGACGAGCACTCGTCCTCTCTCTCACCCCTTCCCATTCTTCCCTCTCTGCCCTCGCGCTTCCCCCATTGTCTCAGGCGTGGATACACCCATTGTGATGCACTGGGGAGCGGTGGGAGTGACAGTGATCAACAATTTCGTGCATGACTTTGGGTTTGCGGGCATCCGGTGCGGCGCGGACGTGCACTTTGCGGGCGACTGCATGCTGAGCAACATCTCGAACAACATTGTGTACAATTGGAGGAGGAATTCGTCAGGGGATGTGGATTCGGCTGGGATCTACTACTGCACACACTGGTTCAGCCCTGGTGGGTGGTGTGGGTGTGGTTGGTGGTATGGGTGGTGGTGGTATTTGTGGTGAAGAGTGCGGTGAGGGGGAAGGGCGACTGCATGCTGAGCAACATCTCGAACAACATTGAGTACAACTGACGGCGAAATTCGTCAGGGGATGTGGACTCGGCAGGGATCTACTACTGCATGCACTGGTTCAGCCCTGGTGGGTGTGAGGGTGCGGGAGGTCCTCCTGCTCCTGACCTAATCCCTCAAAACCTCAACCCCTTGTTCCGTATCCCTTGAAACTCCTTCCAGGCAACGTGGCAGAGTGCAAATACGTGGCATGGGGAGATCGCTGCTACTGCCTCCTCTATGTCACGACTTTTGAGGCGCCTCAAAATTAAACGTGGCATGGGGAGATCGCTGCTACTGCCTCCTCTATGTCACGACTTTTGAAGCGCCTCAAAACTAAACGTGGCATGGGGAGATCGCTGCTACTGCCTCCTCTATGTCACGACTTTTGAGGCGCCTCAAAACTAAACGTGGCATGGGGAGATCGCTGCTACTGCCTCCTCTATGTCACGACTTTTGAGGCGCCTCAAAACTAAACGTGGCATGGGGAGATCGCTGCTACTGCCTCCTCTATGTCACGACTTTTGAGGCGCCTCAAAACTAAACGTGGCATGGGGAGATCGCTGCTACTGCCTCCTCTATGTCACGACTTTTGAGGCGCCTCAAAACTAAACGTGGCATGGGGAGATCGCTGCTACTGCCTCCTCTATGTCACGACTTTTGAGGCGCCTCAAAACTAAACGTGGCATGGGGAGATCGCTGCTACTGCCTCCTCTATGTCACGACTTTTGAGGCGCCTCAAAACTAAACGTGGCATGGGGAGATCGCTGCTACTGCCTCCTCTATGTCACGACTTTTGAGGCGCCTCAAAACTAAACGTGGCATGGGGAGATCGCTGCTACTGCCTCCTCTATGTCACGACTTCTGAGGCGCCTCAAAACTAAACGTGGCATGGGGAGATCGCTGCTACTGCCTCCTCTATGTCACGTCGGGCGATGTGATCCTGCTGCTCCTGACTCAACCCCTCAAACCCTCAACCCCCTCAAACCCTCAACCCCCTCAAACCCTCAACCCCCTCAAACCCTCAACCCCCTCAAACCCTCTGCAGGCAACGTGACAGAGTGCAACTACGTGACAGAGTGCAACTACGTGACAGAGTGCAACTACGTGACAGAGTGCAACTACGTGACAGAGTGCAACTACGTGACGGGCGGAGACCATTGCTACTACCTGCACGTCGCACTGGGTGCACTGCCACTCCCTCCTATTGCATCAAGTCCTGTCACAACCCCACACAACCCCTCACAACCCCCTCACAACCTGTCACAATCCCTCCTTCCAGGCAACGTTGCAGAGTGCAACTACGTGGCAGGCGGCGACCACTGCTACTACCTGGACTATGTCACATCAGGAGTTAACCCCTCTCAATCGCCTCACATCCCCTCATATCCCACTCCAGGCAACGTGGCAGAGTGCAACTACGTGGCAGGGGGCGACCACTGCTACTACCTGGACTATGTCACATCGGGTGTGGTGATCCGCGGGGGTGCGTGCATCAACACGTACGACGGCATCAAAGTCAACAATGGGAAGCTGTAAGTATGTGTTGGTTGGTGCTATGAGTGGGTGTTCATTCACCCTGATTTGGTTTTTACAGGGTTAAAATGTTTTCAAGAAGTGACTATCGTTCTTTGCTTAAGGGACCCTTTACGCTGCAGCTCTTCTTCATGACCAGTGACCCTTTGAAAATGATGCACCACAAGCATGCTGGGGTGATGCACCACAAGCTTGCTGGGGTGATGCACCACAAGCATGCTGGGGTGATGCACCACAAGCATGCTGGGGTGATGCACCACAAGCATGCTGGGGTGATGCACCACAAGCCACACCCGTCTTCCTTAGCCCTTTCTCTTCCCCGTCCCTCCCTCAAATCACTCTGTTATACAGCAACGTGATAAAGCACATCATCCTGAAGAACGTGGAGGGGCATGCCCGGCTGGTGCACGTGCTTCACGCCCACCGTCAACAACTGCCGCAAGGACTGCTCCCCAAACTCCCAACTTCCTCCTCTGTCTGCCGATTGCGTTCAGGCAGATGCGGGGAACGAGATAAGGCCGTTTTTCATCCCCTTTTCTCTTCCTCCCCCCCACCGCATTCCCCATTTATATTCTCTTCAGCAACATGAGTAAGCACATCATCCTGAAGAACGTGGAGGGGCATGCATGCCGGGCTGGTGCACGTAACTGATCCCCTCTGACCATTCTGCTGTCCACTCCTCCCCCCCACGCCCCCTCTAACCGCTCTGTTCTCCAGGAATGTGATAAAGCACGTGATTCTGAAGAACGTGGAGGGCATGCCGGGCTGGTGCACGTGCTTCACGCCCACCGTCAACAACTGCCGCAAGGACCCCGGCACGTACTGGGAGGCCATGCGGCTCAAATACTACGACACAGATCTCTTTCGCAGGGTGAGTGGCTTAGAAAATGCTCACAAATGCAAGCAAGCAGGCCAACAGGGGCCCCGGTAAGCTGTGGCCCTGATGGCCCTGGTGGCTCTGATGGCCCTGATGGCCCTGATGGCCCTGGTGGTCCTGATGGCCCTGATGGCCCTGGTGGCCCTGGTAGAAACTTGTCCATCAACGGAGTTAGCTGCAACCCCAACCACCCCTCCTCTGTTCTTCTCACTCGCCCACCCTGCACCATCCCCCCCCCTCCCTGTACCCCTCCACCCTTCCTAAGTGGTCCAGTGTGGTGTGAAGACACGTCCATTAACCCTTGCAACTGCAACCCCAACCGTGCTATTGTTCTCACTCCCCCACCCTGCACCTTTTCCCCTTTCCTCCCTCCACTTTTCCCCCTTCTCAGCTCTGGCCCTGGTGGCCCAGTGTGTGTAAAGACACATCCATCAACGGTGTCAGCTGCAACCCTCCAGGTTCCATGGCAGCTTACCTGACCGGCAACTGTAGCGGGCTCGGCACCGAGAATTACCTTGACCTGGTCGTGGTCAACATGACTAAGAGGAGCCTCGATTACAAATATTGCGAGAAGATTCCGGTGATGCCGAAGTTCAACACGCATAAGATGATTAACATCACGACGAGCTCGTTAAAGGTGCTGCGGAAAATGGGGTTTCGGAACTACAAGCGGCACGATCTGGCGATTGAGTCGTGGTCTCCGATCTACAAATGGAGGCCGCAATTCAAGAGTTGTCGGAAGGGTTTGGCGGGAATGAAGGTGATCACCAGGGAGGAGTACAAGAAAGCATTTAATATCCCGAAGCCGGAATACTTTGATTTTACTTTGGCGATGAACTTGACGCACATCCATGATAGGACCTTATTTTGACATGCTGTTCTTTCTTGCAACAGACTCCAATTTATTTATTTACTTGTATTTTGTGCCTTATATATAAACTAATCTATTACGGTATAATTTCGTTCTCAATTCACTCCTGCGAAAATAGCTTCACACCCCTAGGATCTGCTTCCTTCACGCTTCACTCAGGATTTGCCACACAAGACTCCAAAGTAAAAATTCCTCAGCGGGAGTATATTTCTCATTTCCCCCGCGAGACAGAGTTCCAGGATCCAGTGGCCCCCACCAGTTTAGCACAGCAAAACACACCACTGATCAGTACGGGTCCTACACTGATCAGTCTTTATATCTCTAGCGGAATTTCACCTGAGTGATTGTAGTTACGGAATGCGGCTGACGGCCGAGGTCCTGAGTGTCGCCAAGTTTCGTCCAGATTGCCTCTTAGGAACACGGCAGCGGTCCGGTGTGAAGGAGTGGGAGTCGGTGCTCTGGTGTTGACTCAGCTACGCGCTGGCCACGAACGGATTCTGAGCGCTGAGCTTCCGTCTTGAGGATTCAGAGTGCTGAGCCTCTGTCTTTTGGGGACTCTGAAAGCAGTTTTGTGGAAAAGTTATGAGTATGGAACGGGGTAGGAAGCGTTTTAGATACTTGACATAGCCTGACTTTTCTGTTCGTATACGCTTATACCGAGCAGTTGTGTCTGTTCGTAGAAGCTTATACCGAGGATATAGTTTCCCATGGGGAAGAAAGGAGGAGCATCGGTGAAGGTCGGCAAAGGCGGCAAGGCAGCCAAAGCCCGCGGAGGAAGCGGCGGAAGAAACGGCGGAGAAGGCGGAGAGGGGGCGAAGAACACTGATGCGGGGGAGGTAAGGGAGATGAGGAGAGATGGGAAGTGGGGTGCAGGGAGGAGGAGGAGGAGGAGCCGGAGCGGGAAGGTTAATGCTTGATTGTATTGCTTGTCAGCTTGATGTGCAGGATAGTCTTATTGCAGCTTGCCACCCTGCCTGTCCAGGCCTCGAGCACAGGCAAGCAGCAAAGGCGGCAAGAGAAAGAAAGGGAGAAAATAAAGAAATCCAGTTTCTCGTTACTGTCATTAGTCTCTGTACTAGGTCTCTTTTCCCCTTCCTTCCATTCCTCCCCATCCAGGCCTCGAGTACAGAGGCAAGCAGCAGAGACGGCAAGGGAAAGAAAGGCAGAGGGAACGCCAAGGGGAGGAAAGGGGGAGGCACGTACAAGGGGGGAGGGGGAGGCGTGTGGGAGCAGCTGAGGGCGCTGGGGCTGTGCATTCGACAAGTCAGTGCGGACGGAAACTGCTTCTTCAGGTTCTTCCTCCTGCCTTCACTTCAGCGCTCCATTCAGTGCTTCAATCTAGTTTCCCCGCCCCGCCCGCCTCCTGCTCCACCTCCCCCTCCCTTCTGCCTCCCTCTCCCTTTCCCAACGCTTACAGTCCAGTTAAGTGTTCATGCCTTTCTGATCTTATCTCCTATAACTTCCCACCTCTGTTCTTGGAAGCTCAGAGCAGTGTCGGATCATGTGTTTGGGAATCAGTCCAAGCACGTGGAGCTGAGGTATGCTCAGACAGCTAGTGGACATGCCTTTTGTATCTCTTTCTCCCCTCTCTCTCTCTCTCAAGCGGTCCGTGTATTAGATCCAAGCAAATACAGACATGCAAAGGATAGAGATGCTACTCATACAAATCATCTTCTAACCCACACATCCCACTCACCCCCCTCCCCCTCTGCTCCGTCTAAGGGAGCTCCAGCACCGGCTCTAAGATGGCCAGGCAGTCCCCAAGGGACATGCCCTCGCCTGGCATCTCCGCAGGTGGGTTCTCCACCTGTGCCGCGTAGTTGCATTTCTCCATAAAGCTCACCGACTGAGCACGCTGCAGCGCCACGGACCACCTCTGGCGGAACTGGTGCAGCAGCTTCGTAGCCTGGTAGGATGAGGGGGCCGCGTTGAAGAGCCTGCGGGCGGCGGTCTCGGCTAACAGCTTGAAGAATTGGGGCACTTCCTCGCAAGGGCAGCCGTAGGTGTCAACGGCGAGTGGGAAGAATCCGACCCACGAAGCCGTTGAGCCTTCGTAGTCGGAGATCTTCTTCTCCGCCGCTTCACGGGCTGCCCACCCCCTGCCCTTGACTGCGTTGGGGTCACGGGTGCTGATGGGGTCCGTGATTGTCACGTCCCCAATCCAAACCGCCCCCGAGGACTTGTCCCTGATTGCTATGTCCGCCTTCTTCCTAGTGACGGGGCAGAATGCGGTTGTCTCTCCATGAGTCATGAAGTCCGCGTCGTTGGCCATCCGGAGGCACTCATCCCGCAGCTCATTATGGGTGTTGGTCCTCCCCTTCCCTGTGTCACAGCGCAGAAGGTGGTTGGGCAGCCGTCGGTCTGTGATTGCCGTGTTGTTGCGGCAGTCACAAGCCCCAGGTGCAGAGGAGGGAAGCCCCATTCGGAACTGCAGTGCGTGGGCGAAGTGATCTGGAGCCAGGCGCAGCGACTTGTTAAAGGGGACCGCGTTGAGCCAGTCCCCTGCCCCATACCCCGAGAGGGAGAGCATACGTTGCGTGTGCCCGCTAAGGGGGTTGAGCGGCATGTCGCGCGTGGTTTGGACCTGCTCGGCGTAGCGGCGTCCGTGGACCGCGATTGCCAGCCCGTGCTGCAGCTTGATGCCTTTGGGTTCGGCGCGGTCGCTCTGCAGCAGCTCCTTCCCGTCCTCCGGCAACATCTCCTCGCACCTCTCCAACCAGTCAAACAGCGGGGACGTGTTGAGGTAGGGTCCCGCCATCTGGATCCGTGTTTCTGCCAAGGCGCCGACCGCCGCCTCGTCAATGGAGGTGAGCAAATGCTGCGCCTGCGTGTAGCTCGCCAAGAACCCTACGCGACCCTCCTCTGACGGGTCCGTCAGACCCAAGCCTCCAAGTGAGATCGGGAGTGAGGCTTGGGCCCAGGTCCGTGCTATCTCAGCCTCCCCCCGTGGGTGTCGAATGCCGCAAGCCGTCAACAGTGTGTCAAACAATCCCTTGCCCCAGTCCGACCATTCCTCCACTGGCAAGGGAGAGAGCGGAGTGGTGCGCGCGACATAGGAGACTCGCCGCGAGATGCATCTGGTAAGCAGGAGAGACGCCAGCTGTGGCTCCATTCTCGCAATTAGGCGAAGTGGGGCTCCCATTGTGTTAAGGCTGTCGCGTAGGAACGCTGCAGTTGCGTCGTTTCCGCCGACGAAGCTGCCCAGCACCTTCACGCCATCATCAATGAAAGGTACGCCCTGCGGCAGGGGTGTTGACTGACGGCCTGCCTGTGACCATGCCGCACACTTAGCGGGGTTGTGTTGTAGCCCAATCTCCCCAAGGCTTCCTGTGAAGTGCCCAAACGCCGCCGCACAAGCCGCTGCTTCTCCAAGAAAAGTGACGTCGTCCGCGTATGCCAGGCATACCACGGACGGGAAGGTAAGTGCCGTGCTTGTCAACGCGGGGTGAATGGCGGCAGCAAACAGCAAGGGGCCGAGGGGATCTCCCTGCCTCACCCCGGTTTCGCTCAAGAGTGGTGGGTGCGAGAATCCGGCATCCAGGCATAGGGAAGAGGGGTGGCCATATGACAGTTTCACGAGTGGCAGTAGCGGAGCTAGCGTCGAACCTCGAAGCGACTCCGCGATGGCCCCTCGGTTAACACTATTGAAAGCGTTCGCCAGGTCGGCCTGCAGAACGAGCGCTCCAGGGTTGACGGTAAGAAAGGTTCGCGTGATGTGGATGATCGCCTCTGCTCCCCCTGGAACCGCTACACCGAATTGATGAGGTAAGAAGAAATCTCGAGCGGCGCCCGCCGTCAAGGTAAGAGCTGTTTTGGCAGCGAGGCGAGTGATGCTTTCGCCGATGGCTATCGGCCTCGTCCCCCCTCCTGGTTTGGTAAGGGCAATCAGGCGAGAGACGGTGAGGAGTTCGGCTATTGCGAGAGGTAATTTTCCAGTGAGTATGGTGTTGACTAGCGCATGCAGGTGCTTCCCCACTGAAGCGTTGATCAGAGATGCGTCCCGCAGGTGTTCGAATGTTGTTCCTGATGGCCCAGCTCCTACTCCCATCTCACACCGACCCAAAACCTTGGAGAAGACCTCGTAAGGCGCCGAGAGGTGAGGGTCTGGTGTGGGAAATATCCA